AACGGTATTTGATAAACCTCTACCAGCCTAGATGCATTATGAGAGAATTTATCAATATACTCTGTAGTTACTGGTCTCAATTTACTTATGGTCCGCGGCTAACGGTGCAGTCCTTGCAGCTCGTGTTCTCCTATTTCGGATTAGTCAGTTGAATGTACTTGCATCCCAGTGTTTGTTATTAATAATAATTAATAATGGTATTATTAGTGTTTATACTAACACAAAAACAGTATCTAGCACCAGCACATTATCCACTAGGCTACTAAATTCAAATGGTTGCTAACTTGTGCAACCAGTATAAAAATTGGTCCTTAGTGTTTGCGTTATGATTATATTTATGTTTGGATTTCGATCAATTTCTGAACTGTTGATCGGACATAATATCATATTTCTGTCTTCTTACACTGAAATGATGTGAGAAAAGGGTATAGCTATAAGGTGATTGGTTTGTTTTTTAAACTAACTTTCCAGTTTGTCAAAGAAGTAACTCTTTTGTATTCAAAAGTTGTTTCATTTGTATAAAACAGTCGTCTCTCCCTAATTAAAATGTTGTGTTTAAGTTAGTTTTCCTGATGAAAGGAAGTGAAAGGAAAGTGAACCCAGAATTCTGTAGAATAAAGTAAACGATTTACTTGTTTAGAAGGACTAAAGATAAAGTCTAAAATAATGTCAAGAAACTCTGTTTATGTGAGCTGAATGATCATCTTATCGATCACAGTCATCTATATTTAGTGATATAATCAGTCTTTCATTCACAAGCAATAGCAATTAATGGTTTCCTATAGTTTAATATAAGTGAGAAATTATGTATTTCGTTTTTTGATAAAAACATATATATATGTAGACTGTTCTACAGTTCGACGATTATCGGTTCACTATCTTTTAGCGAAATATATAAGCTATTACCTAATATGTAATGTTACGTTTACTTCTGGAAAGTAGGAAATCAAATAATACTTATCGAAAGGTATATTTGGTAATTCATTAATTACACTTCCTTCATTTCGTATTCCGGTTTAATCAATGTGTTAGAAGTTCTTTTGACGAGACTATAATTTATGGATGACCTTGAACGAACATTATGTGACCTTTAGAAATATATTAGCCAATCAGAAAACAGTTAGTATAGAGTAAAAAAATATAATAAAAATCAAAGAATTAAAGTGGATACACTTCTTATACGTGGTTCAGAAACTTGTCAAGGTTAGAAAGAGGTTAATAGGTTCTAAAATCTTAATGAATAAAGTAGAGGAAATCATCCATATGGCTCCATAATAGTCGACCTCTGGAGACATGTTAAAGTTGTGAAAACGCTTTCGGCCCCGATCAAGTAGATAGGTTTCTTATTGAATAGTCTCAAACGTCTGAGAGGAAACAGTGATATAATCTTGAAACGACTTGGTAAAGGTGAGGATTTTTTTATGCGAGAAATTTGGGACTATTTGTAAGAGGCTTTTTTATGTCCAGTATAAGTTTGTTACACCACAAAGGATAGATGTAAAAAAGCTATAGACTATAAAACAGCTTACAATTATCATTTTAAAGAATTATTTTCAATGTTTTGAAGTGGGATTACAATCAGAAGTATACAAGTGAATATAAATACTGATGACTGGTATTTCTTGATTTCCAACAGATTCTACAATCAATGTTGTTTTGTGCAGTTAGCTATTTACAAATTCGATGAGAATCATTAAATAACGAAGTAACTGTTTTAAATCATTAGATCAGCAAAAGGTACTCTTGAATAACTGAATTGAGTGCTTCTTTACATCTTATATGAATCATTAACAAAAGATATTGAGAAATTTCAAGCATCCAAGGTGATATGTGTATCCGTAAAAATTTCCAAACTTACGTCTTCTACGTAAATGACATCCGTTAAGAGGATTCCATTCAGCTTCTAGATCACCTAAACCAGTTACGGGATCACGAGTAATCACTTGAAGGTGAAAAACAAATAATGGAAAAATAATTTAGGTCTAGGATATTGAGTTAAAGTCTGATATAATAATCAGAGATTCCAATGAACAGCATCATTTACTTCAAGTTCAAAAAATATTTTCGACTGAGAATAGTCATCAACATTTAGAGTAATAATTATTCTGGATTAATTACTACAAAACTAGAACGGTTAAACATTGAAATAACAGAGAAGATTATGGTTTGGGAATAACTGCTGCATTTGCGATCTATAGTAAAGTGACTGTTCCGTCACAACCCTGAATACATTTCTTTAGTCGGTAGCTTCTTAGGAAGTGTAGTTTTTTATTGTTTATTTTAAAAGCCTTCAACGTTTCATCATCAAGTATGGTGAATTAAGGTTTCTTTATATAAATGAAATGTCATAACAAATTGATGAGTTTATTTTAGTGTTCAGCATCGGAATATGTAATGACTGATTTATATTACTAATCTACTTATAATGAAGATTGCTAGTATCTGGAAACATTATAGGTAGTTATTGATAAAACTGTTCTGCTGAATTTACAGATTCATCTATCAGAAGTATTTGAAATCATTTGCATACAGCAGTCATAATTGCCTTGAGTTACTGTCAATCAACCAAAAATGAATTGTGTTTGTTTAACTTGAAAAGTCCGGAGAAATAGAATAATTTTCTTAAATAGGTCACCTGTAGTATAAGGAAAATCAATCCAGTTGTTTGTTGCTTTTATACTTTCGCGTTCTTGAAGAACCATAAAGTTTAACATTTGTATTTTTCCCACTTCTGTCTCTTTGATATTGGAATGACTACTATTTTTAAAATCATATATATGGGATATGCTTGCAAGCCTTTAATTCCTCACAAAAGTATATTTGGCACAAAAGATATGATCCTTTGAAATTGTACTTTTATAAGGCTCCGTAATCATTTTACGTTATATTGTCTCCAAAATATTTCATTTTATTTCTTTCCACCATTATGCAAACACTAAACGTAATCACATTTTTTTAAAGCAAGGTTGTTTTCTACAAAATTGGAATGCTGATCTTATTCCCAACCCTCCTTCTTTTCCCGGGCTTAAAGCCGGCATCAACCCTAGAAGACGTCTAAACGTAAATGATTGCCTAAGACAGAGTTTGATTGAGAATGCTGATGGGCGGCCTATGTTCCTCCATGAGGGATGACAGGCATAAGTAAGTAAGTAAACGAAATCGCAAGATGTCAAGCCACATGGTCAGATGAGTTATCTAGCTTGTTCGTCATTTACTCTCAGTTTTGTAGATTAAAGCTAATTTATTGTTTTCACTGAAAGTATTAAGAAATTATGAACCAATAGTTGGATAAAGGCTAATCACTGAGATCAAACTAAATTAAGAAGATTAACTTTTTTGTATGGTATGATTAATCATTTATTTAGTTATATGAAATAGCTCAGTCAACGTATCAACTGTATAGAATTACATTCAAAGTCGATTATAGTTTCGTTGAGATACAGTGCGAAAGGTAACATTAAATTCCCGGGTTCTATCTCATCTGTTCAGTTCTCCAAAATCTACATGAATCTTTCTTTGTAGTAGTATACACATTTTTTAAGGGTTGTTATTTGAAAAAAAAGTTGACAATTCGTTCACGTTTCGTTGCCATTATTTTAAGTTTATCTCAAAGTAACATCTAGATTATTAAGTGTAATTTTACTTTGAACGATTTTATGGTTGTAGTAAATCGGAAATGATGGCAAAGAGTTTTGTTCTCTGAGCTGAATGCTTTTGTCATGAAGCTTTACTTATATTTCTGAACATCATCTATTTATATTGTAGTATAATAGCCTTACAAACCTGAGTGTTTTTTTTATCACGTTATATTGTTTCAAGGTTACACATTTCAGACACTTATCAGTAGGTACTGAACCTGTCTTACATATTGATCAGTGATAATTTCCGACGTACATTTGAAAACCTCCAAAGAATAACAACATTTAATGCAACACAATTACGCTTCTTTTTAGTTACAGTTATTATCTACAATTTAATGCCATCGAATAATTGCTATTTAGAGTAAAACAGACCAGTAACAGATATAAACATTGATTGAACAATCTGTTTTATTAAACAAACACCTTTTTAAGACAAAATCGTATATTTTGGTTGTGATCATAAACTGATTGATGTTAGAGTAAATGAAATACCATACGAAATAAATTCAATATTGTTGCTAATCATATCACCTTTAATCAATAATAAAATCGTTTATTTAAAATAATATACAATTTTATCAATATAGGGTTGTGAAGATTATTAAGTTCTTGATTGAGATCATGAATTGATTGGTGTTAGATCACCGTTGAAAACCTGTAAGAACTGGAAAACCATTTCGTCCTATTGTGGATCTCTTCAGTAGTGAGTATCCCCCTCACGGGCTTCGAACTCAGGGACTTCAGTTTCTCGCGCGAACGCTTAACGTCTAGACCACTTAGCCGGCACCCAATGGTGTTACTATCTAATCTCAACCAATCCATGAAATTAAGCGACCATCTACCATTGCACTGGTCATGATCTTAATCAAAACCTTAATAATCTCCACAACCCTATGCTGATAAAATTGTATATTATTTTAAATAAACAATTTTATTATTGTTTAAAAGTGATATGATTAGCAACAATATTGAATTCATCTCATATGGTATTTCATTTACTTTTACGAAAAGTAATATTCATTACTCAAAGCAATAGATTATAAAAATGTATTTACCTTCACTAATAATTCGAATGATTTATGTTTCAGCTGACTTGAGAAATTTTATATAATCATTAATGGAAGTAAACTATCTATTAATATTAGATTGATCAATAGCAGTGTTTAGAGAATACAGTCGACATAATAAAAAATTACATATGTATATGTACTTGTATGTCACATGTGACCAAATCATTTACTCTAATAATAAATCTCTAATATACTCACTCAGCTGTCTAATAAGCTCAAGAAATATATGTATATATATACAGATATTTGTACCCACATGACCGTATATATTGATGTAGGTTTGTTTATGCACATTCTTACCATAGTATATTAGCAACATACATATATACTCAATAATTTAACCATCCTATCTAATTTGTGTAAAATATGACAACAACAACAACATGCAAATCATTTCATGTTTTCATTAAAGTTCGAAGAAAGTGTTATGCAACTAGTTGGAAATGTAATATGCATGAGTAAGTAACTATATATAGTATTATAACTGAACGCGTCAAAAATGAAATGAAAGAACATATATGACTGAAATAATTAAGCATTTATATATATATTACTGATAATTTTGATTATTACCCTGAAGAAGTCCAGACAAGTTAGCTAGACGAAACGTTGGAATTAGTTAAATTTCAATCACTGAGAATATTTCAAATATAATTTTCACATATAATGACTTCTCTATAGTCGGCGCTCAATTACTTTCAAACTATTCGTTCTAATCTTGACGAATATTCGTATAAAATATATTACTGATATAGTTTGTAGATCATGTGAAAATGTTATAGATATCAAGAAAATGTATTTGAAAATAGATTTACATTTTCATAAATAAATATATAAGTAATATGTATTAAACAAATAACTAACTTCGATTTCTTAAACCGGTGTCTGGATTTAAATATGGTAAATATTTTTCTAATAGACGAAGTCCTTCATCTTGATATCGATCATGTGTATATTCACAGTAAACTAAGGAAAACAAAAACGAAAAAAAGGAATTAGATGCATATACATTGAAATAAAAGGTATGTACTGATCAAAATAAAGAATTGCAATGGTTTATTTTGATTTCATTTTGTCAGTCCTAATAAAACTGGGTTATGAACAAATATATATAGTAATTTTAATATTTGAGATTATCAGTCGCTTGAAGCTAGACCACCACGGAAAACGTGAAAGAACTGGACGGCCGTTTCGTCCCGTTGTGAGGCTCCTCATTGATGCGCATCAACGACCCCTCCTCACGGGATTCGAACCCAGAACCTATCGGTCTCGCGTATGAACGCTTAACCTATAGACCACTGAGCCGGCATCTAACGGTTTAATGTTTAAATTCAATCAATCCACGAAAGTGAGCGACACCCCCCACTCAGTGAGTACTTAAAGTATTAGCTTTTTATTTAAAACTAGAACTACCGGTTTTTGTGATGGCACGTCCAGTTTCGAGCTACAGTCTATCTGCTTAAATTCATAGTGTTGTTTAGTGTTATCAAAGCACAGAAAAATCCTGCGGTTCATATTTGGGTACACAAGCCTATATGTGACAAACAGTTCACGTCAAAATTATTATCCCATGTTTTAACATATACTTTAGTGATGTGCATTCACAGTGCCACCCAGACATGGGACCCTCAGGCTTTGTAGTGGGCAGATAGCTGAGTCTTTCAATATCTGGTATTGTGTGACCAGTACTTATTAAGACTATTTATATCTGCCATAGCTTCTCACTAGAACATTCAGAACTACCTGTCAAACTTAATCACTAATGAGCAGATAGTTGTTATTTGTATAATGGAGTTGTGGATATTGTTGAATTCGCAGTTCATATACATGTATCATATAAAATTGAGAGGTTTGTGTTGACTAAATCAAGGTGTCAAGATTTGTTTTTCCTCATAGTTTGATTGTATGCTAATTGTTGACTAACATAAGGAATGATTTCTTAAGTTTTAATCAGAATTCACAACTTATAAAGTTGACTATAATCAGAGAAGAACTTTCAGAACCATTGACAATCCATTTCCGTTGTGTTTATATCGATTCAAGTTGGGCATTTAAATCATATGACTCGATTTTCCTAGTTTTAAACATAAAATCTTCTGATTTTAACTACCTTATGATGAAACAATTTTAAAATAAAAACGTGAACTTGATCATGCACTTCGAAAGAAAGAGTTCAACCAAACAGTATTAATACAAAGTAAATTTATTTTTATTTTTCTCATTAAGTGTAGAAACTCTGAAAGTAATCGTCAAATAGATTACTATATCTTTTGTGACATTGACTTATAGAAAATGTAAATATGATAATATAACTAGGGTTCTTTTTAAGCAAAGATGGATAGTGGCTGGCAGTGGAATCCACCACGCGCGTTTCGTCTTATTTGGGACTCGTTAGTACAGGCAAGTGGCTATCAGGACTCAGCAGCTAAGGGAATAAAGCGATGGCGTTTGAAACGAACGGTACTGTGTTCGGGTCCCAGAGTGAACATGAAATCTGAGATGCAGGTGCATCTAGTTGACGAGTCGCAAATAGGAGAAAACGTACGTTCTGGATTCCACTGCTAGACACTATCCATATTTGCTTAGAATGCTTGTGAATTAAGGCAATATCGAGGCAATCTGCACACGATGCACATAAGCCAACAAGAGACTAATCAATTTCAGTCCTACTCATCAATCGAAAGATTAAAGTAAACAATACCATGTGAATTTAGGGTTCTTTTTGTTTACTATTATTCTACTATTAAAATCAACTCTAAATGTCAAAATGAATAGGTTATCGGTGAACGAATAACAATGATTTATTAAAAAAATCATTGTTATTCTTCATAATAACTTATTTGCCAAGTTTATATTCTATAATTCTGATGTCTGATTATAATTTCTTGCAAAATCTTAAACTAGATTACTAGGCAAAATGTTGGGTTCACTGAGATTTTACAAATACATTCTCCTTTAATTGAGTACAGTTGTTTTGAACTATACTGCTCAAAAACGTCCTCTTAAACCATAAAACCTTTTCCGTTGCCTTAAAACTATAATTTTTAAAATGAATTCTCTTCTTGTTGTAAAATAACGATAACAGCCACATAGTTGAACCTCAACCTCAAGGTTTTGCCTGTAATGTACACAAATTTTAATCTAACTAGGTATTCTTCATATTGAGGAGATCCATGAAGCTCCTCAAAAAAGACAACAAAGGCTCTGAAAACTCAAAGAAACACCTTATCTAATCAGCATTCAACAGAAGTTATGCCAGAAACATCTAAGAAGTGAAAAGTCACATATCACGTTTCTCATTGGATGAAAAACTGTACTGCTACTATGTTTAGTAGCGTTCCAGAATTTTCCGGAAACCCAAGGCCATCTAAATAATATGAAAACCCTAGATTTTCTATACACAAACGAACCTTTGGATTAAAGCGTTTCTTTTATGTTTCTCACCTTTTCTCTTGTATTCAAGTTGCTGTGTAGATTTAACCTGGTACTTACTAGATAAGCTTAGGAACCGACTTATCACTTCAAAATAAAGGATATTTAGCATTTTTTTTGCGACAGAATCTACGCTTTTATTTATTACAGATGATAAAAAATAATGTAAATGCTGTCAAAACGTTTTTTTTCTGATTTTGTATCACTTTGACAAGTTAGGGGAACAGAATTCTTAAAAAAAATAGACTTTTAATTCACTCCAAGACCCCCACATTACATAAAAAGAATTCCAGAACAATTCTTGGTGTTTGCTCACTTTGATTCTCAAAATTAATTGAACAGTCTTGAACATAAATAAAAGACAACTATAACATACAAGATGATTTATTCCACGATTATTTGGAAATGAGTTTCGGACATTGTAATTTTCTTATAAAAAATTTTGAAACATTGAATACACTTGATAATTGATCAGTCCAATTAGAACAGAAATGTAGTGAGTTGGTCTTCAGATTTTTCCAAGAAGGAAGTTCTGGGATTTTTCCTGAATTAGAATTTTTCTAAATGATTATAAGTGTCTTTTAGTATCGATACCAAATAACTGGTTATAGCAAATATTTTTGTTACAAAATTCACACTAAAACATTTTTCATTAAATTTCAGTTGGATTGTAAAGATTCAGAAAATACATAATAAATAAATTTTTACACTGTTAAGTTATTATCTCTATTTATCAAGCTTAACAGTTGGTCTTATCTTTGCATTGTCTTACATAATAAAACTAACACAAATTGCATTAATTTCATAGTGTTTACATAGCATTCTATGGAATAATAAATAGTGAGTCAATTGAAGCTAAACCACCATGGAAAACCTGGAACCAATGGACGGCCAACTTGTCCTAGTAAAGAACTCTTCAGCAGTGCGCATGCATGATCCCGCACCCCGCGAGATTCTAACCCAGGACCTATCAGTTTAACCAGGTCTGTTTTGAGACATCAACTGAAGACAATGGTGTATGGTGGCGCAACTTCGTGGATTGGTTGAAGTTAGACATTAACATCGTCGGACGCCGGCTCAGTGGTCTAGTTAGTTAAGCGCCCAGCGCGAGACTGATATGTCCTGGGTTCGGATATCGCGGGGGCGGGATCGGGGATGCGCACTGCTGAGGTGTTCCTTACTAGGACGAGTTGGCCGTCCAGTGCTTCCAGGTTTTCCATGGTGGTCTTGCTTCAATTGACTCATGATTTCAATCAGTGAAATTTGTAAAATCTCCACAAACCCCTTCTGATAATAATAAATAGGATGAAAAAAATCACTCAGTATGATGCACAGATTTGAGATATACAGTATGTATCTTTTTCAGTTAACTAAATATACAATCAACAATTGTCTATGCATGACGCTCAATGTCTGTTGTCAGGATACCGTCAGTAGTAAATTACTGTGGGAGAGAACAAACCAAATTAGGAAAAGATGATGGAAGGGGATAAAAGATACATTATTGAAGTCACGAAAATGTATCACGAATTAAGCGCTAACTTTGGATCTTGAAGGGGAACGAAAAAGAGGAAGATCAAAAAATACACTGAACCGAGGATTGGAATCAGATATGAAAATGATGAGTAGCAAGCGAAAATAACTGGAAAAGATTGTCCGGGACAGAGTTGGATGGAGAATTCCGGTGATTGGCCTATACTTCTCCATGAGGGATGACAGGCATAAGTAAGTAAATAATATGATTACTAGATTCAATTAGTTTGTTTAAATGTTGATGCATCGTAGAAAACATGTATCCCACTATTTACACAGTCGAAAAAAATTAATTACCAATTCATATAGGTTGTTGAATATCATCTTCAGATACCTTATCAACTTGTTCGCATTAAGATTATGAATATCAACCACATGTTTTAAGTAGTATTTAGCCTAGCAACCTCTTTTTTTTTCTTAGATCATAATTGTTCAGAATTTGCAAAAGAAACAACGTATCTTTCCAAAGAAAACACTCATACTAAAAAAGAAAATTAAAAACGTGTTCAATTCGTGGTTTATTGTGTACAAAAACTTTTTCTCTTTATTTCTTAAATCATCTGATAAATTACTTTATAAATAGACTTTGTTTTAGATTTTCAAAGTGTCTAGATTGAAGCATTGGGTTTCATTTTTTTCTTTATCGATGGAGTAGTATAAAGAGATCATGAACATAGTAACTAATATAAAACAATACTCATCCATTAAACGAAATTGTATTGAATTAACTATTGAACACTAGAATTTGTATTGTTTTTTGACCTTCCTAATTTAGTATATTATATTCAATTACGAATCAATAAATTAGTTTTTCAATCTAGTATTGAATAGGGAAATTAATTGTTTAGATAATAGGGGGTTATTGATAACGATTTTTATTCCTCATATTCAGAACAATCAATTTATACAGTGCAAAATGTTTTTTGAAATTATAAGCTTCTTATGTGTTTCGCAAACCATTGACGGATTTTAATAGTTGAATTCATAAGTCAATTCGAGAATTACCTCTCGAAGCTAGTTCATAGAGAGCATGTGAAATCCAATGCGTATCGAATTTGAGACATTTATTCACCTTACGCAATGGATGGAGGGTTGCTCAAGATCATGGGTCGATTGAAGTTAAACATTAATACAAATGGATGCCGTTTCAGTGGTTTAGAATTTAGGCGATCGCGCCTGAGACCGAATATCCTGAGTTCGAGTTCTACTTGCGGGATCGTGGGTGTGCACTGTTGAGGAGTCTTATATTAGGACGAAATGGCCATACAGTGCTTTCAAATTTCCAGTGATTCCCTAGCTTAGATTGACTCACAAAGTCGTCAATTAAAATTACTACAATCTACACAAATCCTCATTCTGACGTTTACGTGTTTGTTAAATAAGATTGTTATCTAACAAGGGTTGAACTTTATTGATGTATAGTATAATCTGATTTCGGTTGTCTAGGTACAATTTAATAACATATCTTGATGCAAATTTTGTATAATTTGACATGAGGAAGATGTTGCTTTTCATTTCTAGCGACACTTCTATATGCAGTGTGATATTAAAAGGCTTTTAACATAAACTTATAAAACGTCGCCTTAAAGAATTTGTTTAACTAAAGAGATCGTTGTAATAGATGAGGATACGAAAATCAGGAATAAATAGCACATCTCTTAGACTAAATAGAATCCAATTTGATAGTTTAACAGTATATTATTCTTTTCCAAACTGGTTTTAAGTTCTGAGTAGTTGAATGAATGACAGATTTTAATGATCCAATCTTTCTTTATATTAAAAGGAAGTGAATCTTGACTGAGATCTATTTGTATCTTAAATTTAAGTTATTCAGTGGTTTAACTATTAATCTAGTTCATGGTGTGTAGTGTTTTACCGATATTAATATCTTACACAATAATTCAAACATAGAAAAAGACTAAGTAGAAAGACCTTATTATATAAATTTGTTTTTAAAAAATTGTAGGTTGTATACACTGCAGATTGATCTCATTTAGTGCACCATTTAAAACTAGGGAGCATTAAACAATAGTATTGTCCTACAATATGATCATTCAACGGTATCACATACATTACTCACTCGAGTATTAAACCTATGTGATGAACACGGACTACAGATTAAATCAATCTTCATAAAATCCTTTTAGTAAAACTATTCATTGAGATGGTCGAGATGATTTGTAGCACAGGTGGATGATTTTGATGGAGTTTTGTTCTCTGAGCTGGATGATTTGATCGTGGAGCTTTCATCGTTCTTCCGTACGACATTATTAGCGCAAACTTTAAGTAGAAGCTATTCATTATGATGTCAATAAACATGTAAATATTCAACTTCTTAACGTATCAAATTTTCATTAATAATATAAAATAAAATGGAAACTTGACTAATCAAATCAATAAAATGAAATGAAAGAAGTAAAATATTTATACCAACAACAGAATAATCTATTATTGATCGATGTCATCTCATAGTTACAGATTAAGAAAAAACATTACTTAACAATTATTGAATCTTGAGCCCAATTCATTTTATTCACTGTCCCAGTTAGCACACTTAACTGCTCTACGAGATATCTGCAAACGTATTACTCTACAGTGATACTAATCCAATTTATAAATAAATAAATAAACTCTGTTTGAACCCCGTCAATCTATTAATCTTAATAATAATAACTTTTGTAGAAAATATTTCAATTATCCTTTAAGAAAATATCATACACCGGAGCGACAGAAATCGAACTCAAGTTTAACTAAATGTCAGAGAGAAAAAAGCTCATTTGTTTACCACTGTACGCAATCATATCTATGTTTATTATCAGAATGGGCTTTGTGGATATTATGGTAATTTTAGTGGTTGAGATCATTATTCAATAGAAGCTAGACCACCACAGGAAACATGGAAGCACTGGACGGCCAACTCGTCCTATTTTGTGAATATTAGGCGGTCCGCACTCAAGATCCCGACTCGCGCGACTCGAACCCAGGACCTTTAGGTCTCGCGCGTGAACGGTTAACCTTCAGACCACTTAGCCGTCTGGCATCCATCAGTGTTAATGTCTAACTTCAACTAATCCACGAAACTGAGCCACCGTTCATCTTTGTCTTCACTGAGTTACTATCTCACAACAGACTCGGTTGAACTCCGTTGGTCACTGCTTCTCACTAGAACTCCAGGATATACATCTTGAAGCCAGTCACTAGTGAGAAGTCCTATACTAGGACGAAACGGCCGTCCAGTGATTCCAAATTATCCATGATGGTCTAGCTCCGATTAACTCATGAATTCAACTGCAAAATATCTATGTTTGTTATTTACTGATCATAAGAAGAAGTATAGGAGAAATTGTATTATTATTCTTGTGAATATTTATTAATCAGTATAATAATACAATTTGTAACTTACTATTCGCTGGTATACAAGCCATTTTATTCGATTTATTCATAGACATTTTACTGATTTTTTGTTTTATTATTCAAATTGAAATCTGACCTTGAGTTTAATTGTCGTTTTTCTTTGATGATGATGATGATGATGATGATGATGATGATGATGATGATGATGATGATGATGATGATGATGATGATAATGAACCAAATTATCAATAATTAATCAATGTCCAATATATTGAAATAGATTGAATATTGAAAGTGAAATTCTTCATATTTAACAAAGAAAAAGGAAACATTAAACTGTTATTTATTTATGTTTTTTTAAATCAGTAACTTTAAAAAGGTAAACAAGGAAATTGGTTTGTTTGAATGAAATCAATAGTTAAATGGTGTTAAAATTGAAATGATCTTTTTACCGAATTTTTTATTCACGACAAAAAAAAATAATAAAGAAAATGTTAATTTATGAATTAAACTTGAGTATATTGAATAAGAAGAAGAATAAGAAACCACAAAAACAGTAGTTGACGTTAGTAAATAAAAGTAAATTTGTAAACTGAAGTACTTCTCAATAGGTTCCAATCTTGTACACATGTATGAATGAGTCTATCTATTTTGTAAGTACATGTATGTCTGTCTATGTGTATAATGAACATGAATACTAAACCAATTAGTTTCTTTCATTTACTTTTTTTCTATTATTATTTGTATAACATAAATCATTAAACCACATGATTTAGATTAGAAGATTTTTTTTCATTTCAATATTTTATTACACTTTTAGTGCTTCTATTGATACCTTTTTTTTATTGAATTATATGTCAGCACATATATACATATTGAGTTTTACACGATTTCTGTATAGGCACACATGCATTTCTACACAAATGAAACAGTACATATGTACATACACCTTCCTCTTTATTCACAGGTTGAACACATGTAAACAGATCACATGATTATGAGATATTAATTGAATATTTTTGTACTCACTTTATTGTTTTTAATAAGGGCGTTAACTTTTCATAATATTAACCGAAGTCTACCTGATTATTGCCATTATTTTTGTCGTCATTACTGTTACTACGACTAATACTAATACTTTTATTCTATGCTCATGTCTTTACCTTATTTCAATCATTACTAATGGATTTTAATTAGATTTGAAATTTCATATTTACGTATTAAAACGCAACTAAACACACACACACATATATATGCACAAGGAAAGCGGTGTCCTTTTAATTAGTTCATTGAAATTTATAAGTTCCATAACGCAAAATACGATAGTAATAAAAAGTACATTTATGGGTTGGTATTTTATGTAGCAAATTGATATACATAATGTATATTAAGTTGAGAGAAAATACTGAGCCATATTATAATAAATTATTAACATCACATTAGAAACTATTAATATTCGATTGTTTCGCAGTGAAAAAAAACTGTGATTTTAACTACTAGTGTGGTGTGTGCTACTGATGTCGAAAAATAGAAGTAATATGTATCACCAATTGAAAGTGAAAAACCTGGAGGCAGAATGTTGGGAAAAGGGAAGAGAAGAGAATAAAGACAGAGAGTGATTGATATAGAAATGAAGGAACAACAATGTCTGAGACAGTTGATGGACATTTTGCAAATGAATTATTTACTGTATGATTCTCAGATTTTACTAAGAGATTCTGTAATTTTGTACTTAAATATACTTGGTTGTCTTCACTGGTGACGTCGTTCTCTACGCTAACTAGTAACCTTTATATAACCGCCCCTACTTGTTATCATCTGCGTAGCTGAACAAAATTTATGACCCAAAGCTGACCACATGAGATTTATAATGTTTTCATTATATCAGAGAAATCAGTTTTCTTTCAAATAACTAGTGAAATAAACTTTCATGTAATTAGATTTACGGTGTGTGTAGGGTGATCATATTATGCACTTGAGCAAATTTAATTTGGTAAAACTCAATTTTGCAATAAAACCTGTTGCTTTAACATCAAGTTATTGGTCTAAACAATATGTTAAATGGTTAGAAGCAGTCTACATAAAACATCTAACCAAGGTTTCATGGTATTTGATATTTGTATGTGAGGTGTACTTGTAATTCTGAAGGGAACCATGCTTCATGTGATATTTAAAATCACATCACCTAGCTTCATACTGTAAAATTTTTCTCACTGACGTAGATTTCGTGCACCAGTTACCATAAGATTACGGGTGTTTTTATTGACAAGTACAAAATAGCAGAAAACATTGGTCCGAGAATTCCTGTCAACTATCTTTGACCACCAAATATCCCAACATCGGGACGAGATGTTGAGTTACTTAGACTAGTGACTACATACCAACTTGATCGATAACATTCATCAGAATCAAAGGAATAGACAAATACGATATTGGTTATTACTCAGTTATCAATTAGTTGGTTGAACTAACGGAATTTCAAACTTATTAATGAGGAGAATCAACAGATTATTTTACTGAATAAGCCAACGGTCCAATAATACAGTTAATAAAGCTCAGAAATATAACATTTCAAAATGTATTTTCACACTCTAGATTTCAAAAGAACCTTAAATTGTTATGGATAAAAATTAGAGTTTTATACACAAACAAACATATTGTGTTGGCCGTTAGAATACTTAAATTGTCAGCTCTCATAAGTATGATATCTTTCGTCAATAAAATTACTTATCTCGTTAATGTATTTAGCTTTTCAGTGAAGTCATAATCTGAGATCGTCTTATTGAATTATTAGACTAATTCCTAAAGGGGATAAAATAGATGTATGAATGAATAATGCATCTTGTAAGTGTAAGACATACTTTTATACAGTATACAAAACTTAATCAAACTTAATCCATTTTAAACTTTTAGAAACCTAAAATTTGAATCTTATAGCTTGTGCGATTTCAAGCTGTGTTCTATAATCCACAGGACACGAACATTTTCAGTCTCCAATTGACAAAATTGATTACTGCATAACTTATATCTAACGGCAGCTGGTTTACTACCTTGTATAAATGTTTACCGTTATGCTACCATAAAGAACTTACGTATACACTGAATGATACTAAATTATATCTTAAATCAATCTCAGATGTAATTTGCTTCACAGTGTGTTAACGTTAAGCTTTAATAAACTGAGAAAAATATCTTAGTAAGCAATGATGGATAGTGGCTAGCAGTGGAATCCAGTATGCGCGTTTCGTCCTATATGGGACTCGTCATCTAGATGCATCTGAATCTTAGAGATGTTTACTCTGGGATTCGAACCCAGTACCATTCTCTTCAAACGCCATCTGTTATCGGCATATCCATCATTGCTTACAAAAAGCTTGTGAATTAAGGCAATATCAAGGCATACGCACAGTATGCACAAATGCTGATAACAGACTGATCAATCGCAGTCTTAAACCTAAATGGGAAGATATAAGCCAAATAATACCAGGTGAATTAAAATATCTTAGTGTCATCAGAAACTTCTTCCTGGAATGATAATACATTTATGCGTAGTATTGAATGCGTTCAAAGATATATCACATAATTTCCAAGTAATCCAGGTAAACCTTGTACTTTTTACAACTGACGAATTTATTCAGATTAATTTTTTAAGAATCAATACCTTTCAGTTGATCTCTATTTTAAACTAGATTTTATATTATGAGTGATATCCTGTCACTTTTATTTCAAAGATGTGATCTATTCAAATTTATGAAGAATCTTGCATTATATTGACAGAAAATAGTCTTCTTATTTACTCATTGAAGTGTTTTTGTTTCATCATGAAGAATATGTATATATAGTAGATGGATTGACATTTTACAGAACAAGATGAAATACATAAATTAAGGTGAGAGAATATACTATTCTATGGTATGATAAATTTCTAACATTTAAACAAACAATATCGACAATCAACTGGATTATAGTTTTTCAGTTTACAGAACTATTTTCAAATGAGACTTAATGATAGGAATTATATTCAAACCTGTGAAGCTCTAATGATCGATCATTTTTGTCAAAATGAACTATAATTTAAATAATTTTAATTAGGAAGGCTTCAAATTAAGGGTTACCAATGTAGTTTTGTCTCTGGAAAAATCATAAAATGCCTGTTACTTCTTTTAATTGGATGATATTACATTTTTAGAACATTAAGAATCAAATTTAACAGATTGAAATCATGAGTCAATTGAAGCTAGACCACCATGGAAAACCTGGAAGAACTGGACGGCCGTTTCGTCTAGCTTCGATTGACTCATGATTTCAATCTGTGAAATTTATAAAATCCCCACAAACCCCTTCTGATAATAATCATCTGCTCACTACTGACTGACTTCAAGAGATACTCCTGGAGTTCTAGTGAGAAGACATCCATTACCAGTGGAGTTCAACCAGGTCTGTTGTGAGATACCAGCTCATTGAAGACAATGGTATACGGTGACACAACTTCGTGGATTGGTTGAAGTTAGACACTAACACCATTGGATGCCGGCTCAATGGTCTAGTTGGTTAAGCGCCTGGCGCGAGACTGATAGATCCTGGGTTCGAATCTCGCGGGGTACGGGATCGTGGATGCACACTGCTGAGGAGTCTCACACTAGGACGAGTTGGCCGTCCAGTGCTTCCAGGTTATCTATGGTGGTCTAGCTTCAATTGACTCATGATGTCAACTATTCATATATATATATGTTCCAGGATTTCATAAAGGATATGTGAATCGTTTTAATTTATCATTTTAGTGAATTTTCTGTAAACTTTAACAGCACTTAGTCCAAATATACGATAAATCCTATGCCTTTATTTGTTGTAACTGTTGGATTAATTGAAGTAGTTATCTGAAATCCATGAATCTGAATTTCGTTCCCCATGAGACTTATCAGAATAGTGTATCTATTCAATTACAAGAACTAGAACTCTTAACAAGATTCAAACTTACTTCATTCAGTGTTACAATTAAAAAAATATCATCACTGAATTATTTTAGTCTCTGATTATTGACTGAGATGAAACTTCTGGTTCACTAAGGTTCTTATTACTTATTTGGTTACTATTTTAGATGCAAGAATTCTATTCTGAAGATTTAAAAACCTAAAAATCAGCATTTGAATTAATTACTCCTTTACAAGTAATAAATCTAAGCTGTGTAAAGTGTAGATAAGAATTTCAACTTCAATTAATAGATTCTTTTGTTTTAATTTAGAAATAGAAAAACAGTTTCAATACGTATTATCTGTCAATAAAACAAAATGGCATTTTTAAACATCAAGATATTTGTGATTTTAGCCGATATCTTTTCGAAATAAATTGACTGGCGTTATAATCTCAATTTGTTCATACTTTTGTTTAAAATATTTTGGCATGGAAATTATTGTTTTGTTATTATTTTAAAATTAATCTTCATCAATAATTAAATTGTATTGTGGAATCCGATTATCTAACTATCGTACTAGAAGTGAGCGTGCAACTTCGTAATTCTAAATGCTTTATATGTGATGATATTGAACATATTCAGTCAGTTTGTAATACTAATGTTCATTTTGCTGCAACTAATATCAGGTCTTGTAATTCTGATTCTAATAAGTTGAGTATTTATGATGATCACTTATTTTTATCAACGATTTCAAAAGACAGTGTAGAGTCATATAGCAGTTCAGAGTTAAATGAAACTCAGAATTCTTGCGAGACAACAGTTTCTAATCAATCAACTTATCAGATTTCTCATGTTATTGTACTAGATATGGTTTTTTCTAATGATTCACATATTTCTGATGAAATTCCCTACAAATGTGAGGAAAATATGTTGAGTGAACCTAATCATGATCGAAAACCTGACGTAGTTTTGATGGATGCTGATTTTTCTAATGATCCTCTGCTTTGCAATGACATTCTTAATAATTTTGAGGAAACTGTTTCAGAAGAGTCAAATCTTGATGTCATATCAAATATTATTTGTCTTCATAATGCATTTGTTTCTTGTGGGAAACTTGTTCAGTGCGAAGCACAAGTACTAAATGAGCTCAAGTTTCATTACAATTCGGATGATTTCATGTCAACTGCTGTTTATCCTTATCACGAAGTGACTTTGAATGTTTACTCTAATCAATGTGAAAAATATGTTTTAAATGAAGTCACATTATTCATAACTTGGGGATATGAAGGTCCAACATTATTTCGAGGGGGAGGATAGTGTTGGAAAATCTATGGTGCGAATTTTAGATATCAGTGACTTAAGTACACACAACGGATATGTTGAACAAATACAATTCCGGGGACCAGGTGAGTCTGTTCCGACATCGGTTGTTAATTCTAATCCTAATGAGTACATTCTAGATAATACAGAGTCTTTATCCAATACACCGTCGGACAGATATAGGATGAACTTAAGAAGACGTACAATCGATTACAGACACTGAGACTGCAAGTTAGACTGTGGCGGATGTGGTAATTGAATGAACTAGTGATTCTTTTGTACCTGTTAAATGTTTGATTTCGAATTCCAAATACAGTACATACGCTCGTGCTTATTTAATACCTCTTGATCTAATTGCTTTGTTTCTGGGATTCGTAGTATATACTATAATTCAAATATTCCTAATTATCATAGTTTCGTTATTTTTACTTGTTTCTCAACTGATGTGATTTTACAACGAGATTCATCTTCAAAGTAGTGAGACATTTGAGGGTTTAGGTAAGCTTGTTTATATGGATAGACAATCAAGAGTCGAAAGTTGAAACCTATTGGTATAATAACAGGAGAAATTAGTATAGGTCCTTTGTGAGGCAATTAATTATGAACTATACATCTAATAAATTCCTAAATGTTTGATTCATTTGATCAAACCATAGCAATTGAATGATATCACTATTTTAATAAAACCTGAAACTACACTATTTTATTCCAGAGAAATGGGTGACCAACACTCAAGAGTTCAAAATGAATAGATGTCTAGTACTCGGCTTTGAACATTTTTTTAGATAACATCAACTCATGATGAAAACGGTCTTGAAACTGACCATATATGTACCAACAAGTAGCCTGAATAAAATGCATTTTTGTTATATTTCGATTTTAAATATCAGTTGAGGTTATGAAGCTGATTTTATTCTATTTAAGGTTTATTTGTTAAATGTACCTCCATTCTAGTGTTGATTTTCATACTGAAACTTGGACCCAATACCTATCACTTCAAGCAAAGCGCTATCAGCTAATCTATCATACACAAATAGCAACTAACATGTTCATTGGTGGTACATGTTTTGCACTTCTAGCCACAACCAAAATATGTAGCAATATCAAAGTATCCCTACAGAACGCATACATCTCACTTATGACAAGTCATACGTACTGCTCAATATCAATAACAAGTGAATACGATTTGTTGTTTAAAACTTGACTTAACTGGTGTATACAATAGTGCACAGTGTAATCTACGTATAAAGTTTAGTGTTAATTTATAATTATATACTTACAGGAGTATGAATTAAATAAAATAAACTTGAACATAACATAAAATCGAATAAATTTATTTACGTGAGAAGTCTTTCAGGTGCTAAACATCTTGGTTAATCACTGTTTGACTGGAATATCTTGTGATGTAAGGTAGAGATTTAAACAAGCATAACTTATCTTTAAGTAATTGAGTTCCGTTAATCTCTAACATGGTTATTCCACAGTTTCTTCTAGCTATTCATAACCAAGAATATTATCCCATGCGTTAAAATGTAATGTGACTTAATCTAATGTTATTTAAAACCGCCCGTAAAGCGAACTGGGACGTTTGTAACGATTGAGACAAAAGTGTGAAACGTGTTTAGAAGAATCACACCATAAATTCAACTTTTGAATACACTGTCTTTGTAATAGCACTTAAACGTCAACATTTGTTGATGATACTTAAGATCAGGCCAAATGAGTGAATCTTAGGAGTTTGTACTTGTACATATTAGGCTACTGTGTCACTAGGTGCACCAACCTGTTCAACTGAATTACAGGTGTATTCAGTGTGTCTTGAATTGCAATAGTAGTTAAGTATCAAAATTTGACTAGTCATTACATTCTGATTGAAACTATTAAGATTTTTGCACTCATGAATTCGATTTTCACTGAAGTAATAAGATTTATTCTTGGTGAGTTTAACGATCGCTTTCATAAAAATGTACATCGTTCAAGAGTTTAACAGAAATCTGCTTCCTAAGATAATTTACTTTGTGGAAGAAATAAATCATCACTATTTAAAGTGAAGAACAGTCCTAGAAAGTGTTTCATCAATCGATGTTCAACATTAAAATGCTTTATATAAGATTTATTGGAAGGGAATTGAAAATGTTCACGTGATTAACTTTTTCTCACACTAGTACTAAAACATTTATTCCTTTAGCCTTGATTTCAACAGATTTTAATCAACATTGAAAATTATTTTAACATGGATTTATGATAAGTAGAATGTTGCTTACAAAATCTACTGTGATGTTCATCACAATCATTAACTCAACAAACACAATTCCATACCAGGACGAAACGGCCGTCTAGTGCTTCCAGGTTTCTAATGATGATCTAACATTGGTCAATTCATCATCTCAATCAAAACATCAACAGTCTCCACAATTCCATACTGATAATTACCATGTGTTCACTTAGGACTAGGACTGGTGGCCACATTGCAACATGATCGATAGCATTCGATCTGCACTAATAAGGACTAGACAAGCATGACATTGATCACCACCCAGTGATCAATCAATTGTGATCACTTAGGACTAGTTTCATGAAGTAATCCTCGGAGTTTCAGTGAAAATTCGTGACCAGTGAAGTTAATCTGTATCAGGTGTGAGGTAGTTACCCATTTAGATAGACAGATACCGTATCAGTGGTTGCACGAGTCTTACATACGGAATCATGGATACTTACTGTTGAATAGTCTCATACTAGGACTTCCAAGTTTTCAATGATGATCTAACATTGATCAATTCATGATTTCAATCACACAAACCAAAATCACATAAAAAACACCATAATATCAACAACAACAAAATTATCATTGACCGAATTTTTGACCATACGGCTTAATCTAGTTAACAACTAAACACATGAATCTTTCATAAGTCAATAAATCTCAAATTCAATAAAGTTTTTTATCAATAATAAATTGAAAAAATCGATTATTATTATTATTATATCACTCTAAATAAATTCCTTTTGAAATACTTTCTAAGTTTATATAATTTATATTTACTCAAATGTAACAATTTGTATGTGTATCCATATGAGTACAAATAATTGTTGAGCAGTTTTGTGTATAACCTTATCATCAACAAATCAATATTAGAAAATACATATATAACAATAAATATGATCTTCTTACATTGTTTCATGTATTATCTTGTTATTATTATTGACATGATTGGCAAAGTAAAGGCAGTATTCTTACAACTAGAGAATATATAGAACTTAAATCGACTATTGTTATGTTCCGATAAGCATAATGAATGGTAAATTTTGGGATCCATTTATAAGTAACTAAACTATAGATATCTGTGCCCCTCTTATTATCAGCTTTATTTTGAACTATGAACTATTATTATACGATTTATCATTCTTGAATTATGCCTTGTCTATTAATCACTACCTCCCACACTCACAACCACATTTGGCTAAATCTTGTACAAATGTTATTTTCTATTTTATGGTATGATGTGGTCTGTCTGGTTGGTATATAAACCCAGTAGGCTTGAAATAAATCATTCATATCGCAGAAGCTGAGATTGCTGTTCTGGACTTAACATGGTCGTCTAGGCAGGAAGCAGGACCGATATGTACTCTAGAATGCTCGTACGAGTTTTACGCCTCATTGGTTCGATCGATAATTCACTGTTCTCTAATTGGCAGTATCATACGTTATACATTAACAGGACACACAGGTCATAAGTTATAACAACTATTGACCAATATCAAATTTAGAATCATCAATACGAATATCAGAGAGCTCTGCTGTATGGGGATGAAACTTGCAGAGCTACTACAACCAAGTATTTATAAACAGTTGCCAAAGCAAGATAGCCCAATTTATTGTGGGAGAGAACAAACCAGCTTCCAGTTGTAGAGGAAATTAGGAAGTGACGTTGGAGGTGCATAGATTGTGTATTGCGGAAATTATCAAACTGCATCACGAGGCAAGAGCTAAATTGAAATCCTGAAAAGAAAAGGGGAAGAGGAAGATCAAGGAACATATTGCGTCGAGAATTGGAGGCAGACATCATAAGAATAGCAGTCGGAAACAAATGGAACTGATTGTTAAGGACAGAGTTGGATGGAAAATGCTGGTAGGCGGCCTATACCTTTCCACGAGGGGTTAAGGTTTGTAATTAACCCTCACTCTACTGATATTCCATTTCAGTAGTATTTAGGACAGACTTGACTTTTAACTAAGGCAGAATTTAATGAATCCATTTATTCTGTGTATTCTTGCCAACTGCTTAAAATCTAGAAACACTAGCAATAACAATATACAACCGAGGTACACGCTTTGTATCATACTAATAGAGAATAATGGAATAATGATAACAGTTTTAGAAGAATTATTGTTGTTTACCCCACAAAGATTGATTATCCGTTTGAACGTCTTTAGATTCTATGTGTTACGAATGGATAAAAAACCTTAACATCGCTAGGATCTCACGATAAACGTTTTTATCTGTTGTAAAAGTTTATCGAAATTACTCACCTATGAAATCATCAAACATCAAACAACGAACGTTTTAGCTTAATCATCAAACTGATTGGATTGGACCCATTGATATACATTACCAGCTTGAACATCGTATAGCGCAATGATCACTCATTGCCAGTGATGACGAATATTTAACTCTTGATATATCTAGATTTTATTATTGATAACTACTTGTAGGGACTTTAGGAACTTAACAAAAAATTAAATCGCTTTGGAGATATGCAATGGAGGTTATTTTAATTTTTGAGTAGTATATGTCACAGATTGGCCTATATTAAAGTACAATTTTAAAAACCAAAAATAATTAGAGAGATTAAACTAACATCCAATATGTATCTTGAATACAATTAATTATTTAAGGTTATTTTAATTAAATATATTTTGTATAAAAGAATATATAATCATTAAAGGGTGTTTAAGGTCATATTGTTTACTTATCATATCTCAGATTATAAAATACTGTTTTTTTTTCTAGAATTCTCTATATAATTTTTATAAATAAAGAAAAATACACTATCGTGCATTGAAATAAATCGATTCTATTAGGTATATCACTTTCAAAATTCTTTTTTTTTCTAAACTGGTTGTTACTAAGTAGTAATTAAAGTAATATAGATCAATTGAGTATACTCATGAGAGTTATCCTTTTTGTTTTAATATATATATATATATATATATATATATATATATATATATATATATATTAGTACAGTATTGTTTTTTCAAAAGTTCTATAAAATATCTCATTTAAGTATTGAATTGATTGA